AAAAAAAATCAAAACAGTGACGCTTTCACATATAAAGCAATGATACATCAATCATATCTCTTCTAATAAAACTATATGCAGTTATTTACAGTGTAAGATTTGGAATTGTAAAGTAAACAAGAGACTAACAGCGTGGCGGCCCAAGGCGAACGAAAGTATCCAGTACCCAATAGAAATAGCAGATTTCGGGCGAACACGCAACTCATGAGCAGTTTGTAAGGCGGTTCGGTTGGTAGGTTAGCAGCAACGACAATGTTTGGTTAGAGCTTGTAGGACTGACCCGTTGTCAGGCATCGGGAAGAACGCACAGTTCCGTCCGGTACTCCTTGTACTTCCGGCGCAATAAAGCGCTTCAATGGTGGGGGCAATCTCAACTCGTTGACTCGGTTTAGACGATGGCGTCCCATCTCAACACGTATTGCTCTTCTACATATGTCCATGAGAGGCCGCGGAGAGGCTGAAAAGCACCACAATCACATCAGCGGAGGCATGTGCATACAAAAGCTCACGGAACCCGAAATCTGCTAAAGCTGATTCAAACTCAAATATCAATCCTCAGTCATCAAACACATTTGGCCACAAATACTTGTATTCCACTATTGGCACTTGCTCAGAAGATTTGCAGCGCATTCGCGAGGGAGGAGGCAATAGTGCGCTGATTGCTTGGGTATCAAAAGGCTTTCCAAAATTCTTTTGCTCTGACAATTCATGTGCAGGTTCATAAGAAGGAGAGGAAAATAACCAAGATGGACTGGCGCGAAGAATTGGCGAGAATGGCAAGGGTTCAAACTTTGGTCGCTCACGTTCGATGCCTCCGAGGTATTTCATGGTGATCTCGCAATGGCCCCAAACGGCAGAAACTATGGGATAAAGGGTCTTTTTTGGTAGGTTGCGGAACGCAACTCCCAGATAATGCTGATCAGTCGCAAATGCCATATATCCATCGTCCATGTCAAGAATACAGTAGAACTGAAAAGATGTAAATTCTTTACCAACCGTAAAAGGACAGAACGGAGCTAAAAATATGGTTCACCTTATCCGGAATGAGAGTGTGGTCGGGAAATTCTTTGGGATACTTCCATGGGCTGCAATTCTTTGAGTCGTGATGGCATTCGCCACGAGCTAAACATGCTTATTTGTCAAAACACAAAGCTGATAACATTGATTTTTTCAGTGCACTTTCGCATTTCAACTCAAATTAGATTTTCTGCAGAATAATAAAATATAAGCAGATTTACATCAAACAAAAGAATGGAAAAGAAAACACTATGTATCTCTTCCGTTTAATAAGTGACTTTATGAGAAACTCACTAAGATCCCAGCCGTAGCTCTCAATATTTGTGCCTATCAATGAAGTGTAACCCATTGCATGTAAGGGAGCGGCCTTCGTAGCCACCCCTACGACTGCATGAGTCCCTCTTTGTCGCTGCGGCCATTCCAACTGCCATACGTGAAAACCACTCGAATACCCCATCTGAAAAGCTTGGTTATTTGCAAGATAAACGACATTGCATACGTCATTGTAATTATCGTCTTGTGTTTCCTCTAGTTGAATCTGGTCAATCATCTTACATGTGACGAATGCATATTACCAACACAAATGTAGGGATTGATTGACCAAATTGGGACTTCTTCCTTTACTCTCATTAATCATATCACTAAATTTTGATGTAGGCCAAAGTCCAGGTATTGGCACATCGTATAGCTGTCGTAACATCACACACGGTCGTCCATGTTGTGACTTTATACTGACTTGCTGCTTCCCGCAAATAAATTGGCGTTTGGTTTCAATTACGTATACTAGTCGCAGTATTCTTGGTGATTGTTCAACTTCATCAAGGTTCCATAAAATAATCGGCTTACTTACCTTTCCTCTAATGCAGTCTGTACTTTGCGCAACTGGGTGTCGGTGAAAAGTAAAACAATCATCATCTTTCACGAAGATATTCAACGATCTGAAGAAATGAAAATAGTTGTGTCAAACACGCTGCATCCTGGTAACTCACCGATCATCTGGATTCCAAGCATGCATTTCTTGTGTTTGTCGATCAATCATATGCTGAGAGCTGAGGATGTAATCGAATTTAGATGGTCGAAGTTTGTCGATCAAAGCACATGGCTGGAGAAATGTTCATCAAGACGAGTTCGTGATAAAGGTCAAAAAGAGGCATTTTTAATATGAATCGGGCAGCAGTTTGCACAAAACCTCAGCGCGAAGGATAACAAACATAAAAGCGCTTGATACATAAGAAAATGTGAACATGGCCGATGATGAAGCAACTTTCAATTAGAGCAATGAAAACTTGAAATAAACCTATCAATCAGAACTTTCATCGGGCGTTTGTTATGGTTTTTAGTGCTGATGGAAACAGTTATTCCACACTTTTCACAGCGTTCTACATATGGGTAAAAAAGTATTTGGAGACTATATCATATACTGCATATAACGATAAAGAAAACACTAGCTTGTTAGTGATAGTTGCACATACTGGACATTAAGTAAATGTTTTCTGCTTGATGTATGATAA